TCCTAAGGTCTGCTTCTGAAACTTTCAAAGAAAACTGACAAACATTAGGGTGCCTTAATTTCTGAATTTGCTTTAACATTTCAAGACTATACTTCCTTACATTTACTAATGTCTGGAATAAAGTAGCAGTGAATACAAAGCAAAGAACATTTTTTTTCTACTCATATCTACACTTTTCCTAAAATTAGCAAATGGTAGAAAATATGCCCCAAAGTGAGTCAGATCAAAAAAAACCAATGTAACCTAAAATTAGTGCTATTAATTAAAAAAATTATAATAATGGTACATTATAAGAATAAGCACTGACAGGAGTAGGTACAACTGTCAGCATTAATCAATATGTCTCATGAAGCTGTTTCATTTGCGGTTGCCTTATTGAAGATTTTATAATTGGAGTGAATGCAATGTCAGGTCTGAGACATAAATTGTTGCCTCAGGGACGGGGTTTCACTGCACTGTGTTATTTTGTGTGAATGGTTATCAGTCATATTGGTAGAATTACTTCCTTCCAAACCGTGAAGGGAGCATTTGCAGCATGTCTGTGCAATGGAAAAGACATGCCACATAAAATTGCGAATTGTGTGACACCTCATAAAATCTGTCATTAATCTGTCATTTGCATTCTGCCTCTGCCCTGGGAGTTGAATCCTTTGATTTGACATTTGAGGTATCTGATTACCCAACTGCAGAGTAGAAATTTATTTGTCGAAGTTTTTTATATTTGTACTGAGATATCAGGAGAGATAGATCTAATTATCCACTCCATCATTTTTCTATAGCTTTACTGTTTTAGTGAAAAAAGGATACATTTTATAGAATCTGTCTATCAGAAATAAAATGAAACTAAATTGTTAAACATTCTCTTCCTTTATTTTCAGAATTCTACCACTTTATACATACATGATGTGCTTATTTGTTGGAATGTATTCACTTATTCCCTGGAAGTCTTTGGGAGAAAATGCAAAGTCCCAGTTGGATAACTGCAAGAGATCCTGGTGGACAAACCTGTTGTTTCTTAACAATTTTGTTATGATTGAGCAACGTGTAGGTTCTGTCTCTATAGAAACGGAGACATGTTTCTTATTTACATGCCATTTATAACATACAAGATAACTTAGTGTATAATCTTGGGTTTCCATTATTATTCAAGGCAAATTACTTATGTCGTATCTGTGAATGTGTTGTTGAATAGATCCAGAGCTATAACTATTAGGAAAGATAATGGCCTCGATTTATATCCGCATGGTGAGTGGCAGATTGTTGGGGTACAGTTAAAATTGGAAAATGCAGTATGCAATCCTAATTACATGCTACCATTTTTAGAGAAACTGGTTTTATCTTGTGTGGATATTGAAATTGAATTTTTAAAATGCTATTGATGCTCTAATTTAAATCAACGATTGACTTGCAGGTTTTCTAGGGCCTGGAAAATCTGAAAAACAAAAGAGAGTAGTTATCTGCCAGCTCCAGCAGGTCACTGTATCATAGAACCATATAAACTAGGAGCAATAGTAGGCCATTCAGCCCTTCTGCCATTCAATAAGTTCAGGCTGATTCTCTGCTTTCTCCCAAAATCCTCAATGTCTTTAAAATCTAAAAGTGTATCCATCTTTTTCTTGAATATATTCAATGACTTGGCCTCCTTTTGCAGTATAGAATTCTCAGGTTCACTACTTTTTTGATTGAAGAATTCTTTTCCTCATCTCAGTGCTAAATGGCCTACCATGTATGCTGAGACTGGGACCTTTGGCTCTAGACTCTCCAACTAGGAAAACAATCTCTCTCCATCTAATCTGTCCAGCCCTGTTACAGTGTTATACGTTTCAATCAGATCCACCTTTCAATCTTCTAAACTCCAGTGAATACAGTAGAACCAATCTTTCCTCATACGACAGACTTGCCATCCCTGGTATCAACTTAATGAACTTCCACTGCACTAGCTCAATGTCAAGTGCATCCTTTCTTTGATAGGAAGACCAAAACTGCACATACTTGTCGAGGTGTGGTCTCACCAAGGCCCTGTGTCCTTCCCCTACACTGACTGAGGTGACCACATCTCACCACACCTTATACACTGATCTCCAGCCTTCTAACCACCCTCACCTTGACCTCTCTTTGCCCCTTACTTCTGGGTTTGATCTCCCACCTTTCCCGTTCCTAAAATCTAAATTCCTAAATTTCCATTGTTAACAGTCTCTTGTCAAGTTGATCAATGACTGAACAGGAGATTTTATTGTATTCAGCAATGACTTTGTGACGCCATCAGTGTTGCAGTGCCATCTTTGGACTCTCCCCAGTCCCTGATAGGTACTGGGGCCAATGGTTCAATATATGGTGAATATATTGTTAGAATGAACATGAGGTGTGTTGAAGGAGGGAACATTAGATTATAAGTATAACAATGCCCCAATTTTAATGATCACCAACAGTGCTCATAAGGAAGCTGTCCACAAAAATTTTAGCAGATGCTTTCATACAGACTTCCTGCAATCAGTTTTAAGAAAAAAAAAACAACAAAAGAGAAGAACGGCACAGGAACAGGCCCTTCGGCCCTCCAAGCCAGTGCTCACCATCATACCCTGACTAAACTAAAAAACAAATCTTCTGCCCTTATTCAGTCTGTACTTCTCTATTCCTTCCCTATTCGTGTAACCATCCAGATGCCTCTTAAATTTCACTAATGTGCCTGCTTCCACCACCACTTCTGGTAGTGCATTCCAGGCTCCTACCACTCTCTGTGTGAAAAACTTCCCTTGCACATCTCTCTTAAACTTTAGGAGGCGCACTTTGAACCTCTGCCCCCTTGTAATTAAAACTTCAACCTTGGGAAAATGCCTCTGACTATCCACCCTGCCTTTGCCTCTCATAATTTTCAGACCTCTATCAGGTCTCCTTTCAGCCACTGTCTTTCCAGTGAAAACAATCCTAGTCTTTTTAACCTTTCCTCATAGTCAATGCTCTCAAGACCAGGCAACATCCTGGTGAACATTCTCTGCACCATCTCCAAAGCTTCCACGTCCTTCTGGTAATGTGGCTACCAAAACTGTACACAATACTCCAAGTGTGGTGGAACAAGGGTTTTACATAGCTGCAACATGTTTTGCCACCTCTTGTATTCCATGCCCTGGCTGATGAAGGCAAACATATCATATGCCTTCTTAATCACTTTAGCCATCTGAGTTGCCACTTTTACCACTGTGTCTATGCCACTGTGGACCTGCACACCCAGATCCATCTGTATGTTAATGTTCCTAAGGGTTCTGCCATTTACAGTAGAATTCACACCTAAATTTGATCCTCTAAAATGTATCACCTCGCATTTGTCTGAATTAAACTCCATCTGCCATTTCTGTAACTAAGTTGCCAATCTATCTATATCCTGTTGTATCCTTTCACAGTTGTCGGCACTATCAGCAATTCCACCAATCTTCATGTCATCTGCAAACTTACTAATCACCCCACCCACATTTTCCTCCAGATCATTTGTACATACTACAAACAATTCAGGACCTAAGACTGATCCCTGTGGAGCACCACTAGTTACCAGCCTCCATTCTGAAAAACACCCTTCTACCGCTATCCTCTGTCTTCTATGACCAAGCCAGTTTTGTATCCATCTAGCCAAGCCACTCTGAATCCCATGTGATTTTAGTTTTTGTACCAATCTGCCACATGGGACTTTATCAAATGCGTGACTAAAGTCCATATAAACTACATCCTTAGCTCTTCCCTCATCAATTATCTTTGTCACCTCTTCAAAACATGACCTTCTGTGTATGAAACCATGCTACCTGTCACTAACTAATCCATTTCTTCCAAATGTGCATATATCCTATCCCTCAGTATCTTTTCCAAGAGCTTCCCCACCACAGATGTGAGACTCACCGGCCTATAATTTCCTGAATTATCCCTGCTTCCTTTCTTAAACAAGGGAACAATATTGGCTAATCTCCAGTCCTCTGGAACCTCGCCTGTGGTCAAGGAGGATGTGAAGATATCTGCTAATGCCCCAACTATTTCTTCCCTTGCCTCTCACAGAAACCTGGGGTAGATACCATCTGGCCCTGGGGACTTGGCTACCTTAATGCAATTTAGGATACCCAAAACTTGCTCCTTCAATATATTGACATTCTCTAGAGTATTCACACATTCATCCCTGACCTCAACATAATTTGGTGAAGACTGATACAATGTACTTATTAAGGATCTCTCCCACTTCCTGTGGCTCCATGCATAACTTCCCTCATTTGTCCTTAAGGGGGCCTAGTCTTTCCCTTGCTACCCTCTTTCTTCTAATCTATGCATAAAAAGCCTTGTGATTCCCCTTGACCCTGTTTGCTAACTTGATATTGTCTGTAGGGAGGTCTTTTGGATTTTTACAGCACAATTTCTGTCTAGTTCATTGGTTCTGTCAGAATTTGACCTCAAATCCTTGAAAGAGGTATGTAGTGTCACAGGCACACTACTGTATGACCATGCATTTTACCACCTCTTGGTGATCACCTACAGCCTGGTTAGGCTAAAGCTCTAATCATGCTGACAGGTCTTAATGCTCTTCATCTTCCTTTGGTCTCAGTTGAAATTCAATGATATCCCTGACGGTATCTGCTTGTAGCTGAGTTGGCATCAAGATATGCTTTCTGTAGACAATACAAATAGGTCTACAGGAATCCTATCTGACAGGATTTCTAAGATTTTCTGGAAGCGCCCAGAGAGATAGCCTCAAATTGTTATATGAGAGGAGCAGAAAGTTTCCTCTGATATCTTTGTTGCTGGCTACCTTGGGCTAGAGACTTGGACATTTTAGTCCCCAACTTTAATTCTTCACTGTGCTCAAATTCCACTCCAAATATGATGGAGGATTTTTTGGCTAGGACATTCTGTGAAATTAAAGAAACCATTGCAGATTTAACATGACATAATTTACCAATAAAAAAATATGTTTGCAGTGCATGGGTTGGACATGGTATCTTGCAAATGACTTCCAGTTCTACATCACAACACCGCTTTTCATCTTTCTACTGTACAGGTAAGTTTTATTATTGAGTGGTATGCTGTTTCTGTTATTAAGAAAAAAAATTGAATGCTCAGTGGTTGTTACATTTTGCTCCCTGATTTCCTGATTGCACACCTCTAAGTTGATGGATTTTGAGCACCAAATCAGATACTGGAGTGTTGATCTCAGTTACTTTCCAGGGCTCTATTTACTTAATGTTGGCGATCTCTGGATCAGTTTAAGCCTATAGAGATAACTTGTCAGGGGGAGGCAAAACAAATCACACATAAGGAGTGCTCATAGACTGTCTATTCAGGGGATGGGCAAAGTTATTATATGTAGCTACTTAGAGGTGGCACGGTGGCTCAGTGGTTAGCACTGCTGACTCACAGCACCAGGGGCCTGGGTTTGATTCCACCCTCGGGCGTCTGTGTGGAGTTCGTACTTTCTCCCCCTGTCTGTGTGGGTTTCCTCCAGGGGCTCCGGTTTCCTTTGCAAGCCCAAAGATGTGGAGGTAGGTGCATTGGCCATGCTGAATTGCCCATAGGGTCCAGGGATGTGCAGGCTGGGTGAGTTAGTCATGGAAAATGCAGGGTTACAGGGTGTGATGCTGTTCGGGGATCGGTATGGACTCGATGGGCCAATGGCCTGCTTCCACATTGTGGCGATTCTAAAAACCCAGGAGCCATGGCTCTTGGGTCGATTTTCTAACAAATATGGACACAGATTAAAGAAACAAAACAGTAAAAGATAGGAAACAGAACTGCAGAAACCTCATGAGACAGTGGAGGTCTTGGTTGTTGGTTTGAGAGTTGGTCAATGCATCTTTCCTGCCACCTATTTTTAGGATGCCCTACTCCAATGTGCACCACTCAGGACTTGGCATGCCAGTTCTGTGCCTCCCTTGGGACTGTATACACTCTTCCTAATGTTGGGTCCTTTGCCTTTGAGCCCTCTCATCTCCTTGGACGCTCTCAAGCAGCACAGCAGATGTTTGTTCTATTCCCTGTGTTGTGAGACCTTCCTACAGCTGGTTTAATACCAAAATGGGAGAATGAGGCCCTCAAGGCATTAAATGTTCACCTAAAATTGGCATTAGGAGGTCATCCATGAAGGCAATGGGATCCCACTCACGCATCTTCATGCCTGCTTAAATGGTCAAGATGGGGGAGAGCACAAGATTTGCCACAATTAGTTCTGTTGTAAATTTCTGAAATACGTTTTCATGAACAAGTCTTTCTCGAGTAATCCTTGGTGCTAATGTTAAATTACTCTGTGAAATTTCTTTACAAACTCCAAGAGGTCACAGGAATAATCAAATGGTGATAAAATATTGGGCGATTGGCTGGAAATCGGGCTGAGGGTTTTGATGCTGATGCAGCGGGAGGGTCTGGGAAAATTATCTTTGTTCACTTGATTAGAATTTGTGTGATTTGACCTAGAAAGAATTTCTTCATGGTGTCAATCGGTGATGGAAAATAACTGTCTTTACCATTGCTCACCAAGTTGAGTAGGATCCTCTTATGCTGAAGATCAGACATATTAACTTTTCTGTCTGTGTCCAGGAATAGGTTGTTAATGATTGCCCTTGCAGGATTTCTGTTGTTGACTTGTTTCATTGTCACTGCTTTGATCTCCTGGTTCTTCAAACTGCCAATAGGACTTCACTTTGATTCCAGGTAAGTGTAGAATCTAATGTACTATTATAGGCCTAAGAGTTAATTCTGGACAGATATACACCTAGATATTACTGTCAAAACATTGAAGGATTAAATGTTTGATGAAATGATATGACATTCCTCCATTTGCTAATCAAAGTGATATTCTGTTTGTTTCTTAAGCTATTTTAAAATTTATTCAGAGCTGCTCCTGCTCTGCTGTCACCACTGGGAAGTAGGACAGGATCTGAGATAATTCCTGGCTAACGTGTCCAACAAAGTAGCAGAAGGATGAACATCATACAAATGCATTTAACCACTCAGATCACCAACGACCATTTCCAGGAAATAATCTCAAGCCACAGTCAACATAGGGCAGGGTTAAATGAATAAACAATCCTACAAATTAAGAACAGGCAAAGACCATTCTGCCCCTCAAACCTGCTCCACATTCAAATGATCATGGTTGATCTGATTACGTCACGCTTCCATCTCCCACAAATAACCTTTCACCCCTTGGTAATCAAGAATCTATCTTACTCATTGCTAAAAGGTTTTCCAAACTCTGCTACCACTGTCTTTTGAGGATATTTTGGAGTCACATGATATATACCTCATGTATGAGCTTTTGCTGTCCAGTTTATTCAAATGAGCTGAATTTTTAAGCCCTGATAGGGATGGGCAGGTGTAGAAACTTGTGTCACTTGTCAGCCAGTTCCGAGGCACCATCCTGCTCTCTGCCATTTTCCTGAAGACAGGATGAAGGGTGGGAATGGTGGGGCTACTGAATGACCACGTAAGGTGGGAAAGAGGGCAACCCCTGGAGGTGACATCCTATGACAGGAGGAATATCAAAAGTCTCAGAATATAACTATTTCTCTAGGGGTCCCACTAATGTTGCACCAGAATTTAGATCTTAAAACATTCTGTAAAAGCTCCTCTTTATTGCTGTATCCAGTTCTGGTTATAATGGTGAGAGAATGAGAGTGGGGTTGGGGGGCGGTGGTGGGGGTGGGGGGCGCGGGGAGAGAGAGAGAGAACTAAGCCTCTGATGGGATTCAAAGGAGATCTATGCCACTAATTCCTTGTATCATAAACTCGAAGTGTGAAGAGTGGCTGGAGAAGCCTTGGCCATTTATTTAGTCCTGAAAGGAGATGGCTGAGAAATCATTTCACAGAGTGAATAAGAAATAAAATTTTATGGAAGGTGTAAATCTTGGAAATGACATCAATGTAAACTATAATAGTGTGACAAGTGGACACAGGATCAATCTTGAAGCCATGCATACATGATGATGTTAAAAGTTTGAACAAAACGAGTCTGGATGTTCCCATCATGAATTAATTCGACAACATTGTTTTAATATTCATTCAGCTTTTCTTACTAAATATGACTTTATATTTGTCTTCAGGCTGCTTACACATGAGGTGTACAATGCACAATACTACACAAAGCCTTATTGCCGTTATGGTCCATTTTTAATTGGAATTATGTTGGGCATTTTATTGCATCACAGAGAAACATCTTTGCTGAAAACCAAGGTACTTAGTTTAAGACAAATGAGGTGAAAAACATTAGGAATTGACATTAATGTTGTGTTTGTGTGGTGGTAATGAACTGAAAGCATATATCTGTTTGTAAAGAATTGGAATATTCTTTGTAAGCAAATCACGTAAAGCTGACCTGTAATTGGATATATTTTAAAGCTTAGACAAAAACAGAAATTGCTGGAAAAGCTTAGCAGGTCCGGCAGTATCTGTGGAGAGAAATCAGAGCTAACGTTTCAGGTCAAGTGACCCTTTCTAAGAACTCAAGAGTTTTGATTTTGGAGAGAAATTAAAACTCTTGAGTTCTTAGGAAGGGTCACTTGACCTGAAACGTTAACTCTGATTTCTCTTCACAGATGCTGCCAGACCTGCTGAGCTTTTCCAGCAACTTCTGTTTTTGTTTCTGATTTACAACGTCTGCAGTTCTTTCTGTTTATATTCTAAAGCTTTCTGATTATATGATGTACACAATCCACGTAGACTAGCAGTTTTGAGAATGCAGTCTCAGGGTTTGGCGCAATACTCTAATCCTCCTTCTTTCATTTACAAAATAGGGTTCCAGTAACTTAATGTGCTATGGCATCCTGCGGTAAATCCTCTAAATATCAATAAAAATTGCAAGCAGTAAGTTTGCTGCCTGGATATTGCTGTTCTGCCTAAAAAAAGTACGTAGGCATATAACAGCTAACTCACTAATTTGATGATATGCGTGGATCATTTTAAAATTAAAAATGTCACTGGACAGGATGTAACTCTTCAATTTTGTTCACTTTCCTATATATTTGTTATTTTATCGATATTTCTTTGGTCATTGCTCCTCTGACCTCTACTCAGTTCCAAATGTTACACACTACTCCCATAGTTCATGTATATCCATTTAGTTTCCACCGTGGTCACAGCATCAAATTGCTAAAGTCACCAACACTAGTCTCTGTGATCATTATCTTGGAATGCTATCCTTCCTTGTCTCCTTAACTTTCACCACAAACCACCATTGCCTTTCCTGTATTGCCAACAAATTTGCCATTGCATGGTCAAACACCTACTCATTCTCTTGAAAGAGAAAATTACAGAAATCAAAGTGGGCAAAAATGGTCCAGCATGGCAGGCGTCCCAAGCTACTAATGTAAGTCAGAGGTTAGGTAGCAACATCCATTTAGAATCCTGATAGTCACCATTCATGACTCCTTATGCTTAAACACAGCACCCATTTTAGCAATTATTAACATCCTCTCTGACCTATGAAAGCTCCATTGCACAATATATTATATTTGAAGACCTCATTTGTAGAATAGCCTATCTCTGCCCTGGCAACATTTTCCAGTTGAACGTACCCCGCCTGTACACTTGGATCCTCAAATCTGGTTTTCTGTGTAAGCCTTCTCCCCCTGCTCCTGCAATAGCACCAGAATCTTCAACTGTTTCAGTGACTTCTGGAGCTCTTCCTTAAACCTTTCCGTCTCACAACCTCCCTATGCGCTTTCCTGAAATCTTCCTTGTGATCAAACCTTCAGCAATCTGCTCTAATACTCTCATAAAGGCTCATCCTTCTTCTGTGTAACGTTCCACCGCGTGTTGATTTATGTTCAATGGAAATTATCATTACTGCTTATTAACAACAGTGAAATACTTTCTTTTCCAGGCTTCTGTTCTTGCTGGTTGGCTGTGCTGTCTGGCCACAATGACTGCTGTGATAGCATTTGGATATGCACTAGATGGCTCAATTGAATACTACTCTGTCCTTCCTGTGCTGTACCAGGCACTTCACAGATCTGTATGGGCTGCTGCAGTTGGGTGGATCATACTTGCATGTGAAGAAGGATATGCAGGTATAGTTCTTTAGTAGCTGTGAATTTCAAACAGCCCTTGGAAAATTTTACAATTGTCGAATCCCACACTAGGCTTTTCAAAGATGCATTCAGATTTTCTGTTTTGATTCACTCGACAACATCTGTGACTCCCTGCAAGGCAATCTGGCAGAGACCTTAACTCCAAAGGAACAAGAGTGAGTCCATCTGAATGATACTGATACACCTCCTGGCAATTATATTGAGTTGCAAACAGAATTGAGGACAGATTGCGTTGATATAGCACTTCACTGCAAAATATATCTGAAAGAAATATTTCAGAGTCAAAGCTGAGTAGATGAGAAGAAATAATTAAAATTTTTCTGAAATTTTTGAGGCAAGTTGTAAAAGCACAAGGGTTTTAAGGAAGGAATTTTCAAGCGCAGGCTCAGTGTATTAAAAACAGAGTTCAGGGAGGTGTGTTTAGAAGGAAGTTACAATGTGATGATAGGGTATCGACATGAAGGGTGTTTAAAACCACATTGATTGACTGATATCCAATCTCGGATGAGCTACAATCTCCTCCATCTAAAAACTGCAAAGACTGAGGCCATTTTTAATTGCAGCTAGCTCTGTGGGTTTGGACTGATAATTGTGCCTATCCAATTGATCAACCCTTGTGGGTTGTAACACAGCTTTCTAAGAGTTACTGAATCACAATCAAGAGCAGTAACGTTAGGGATTTCCATTTTCCTAGTTCAGACATGCTGAGGGTTATCTCTTCCCATCTTGGCTGTGACCTTCCAAAACCAAACGTTAAACCTCATAGTCTTCTGGATTGTCTTCATACCAGGTAGAAATATAGTAACAGAACCAATTGCACCTGTCTTTCTACCCTAAAGTTTATATCATGTAGATTCTAGGAAGGCGGTGAATTAACACAATCTTCCATAAATCCTGTCAGGCTACACAGTTTATACCAGAATCTGAAATCAATCTATTCTAATTGATAGAGTTTACAATTGTGGCAGCTATGCTATGTTTCACTACAGAGAATCTCTAACTATCAGTAGTGAGCTATGCACTGACAGCCATCATCAGGACAGTGAAAGGTTAGAAAACAGTTTTAAACCAGAATAATTTTATGTGAAGTTGTTGTATTCATATTTTTTTCTCTCAGAAAATATGGTTTTAATGCATTTTTAAAAAAGAAACATGAATCAATAAGAAATATGCTAATCAACTGACCTATTAGGGAAAACAATTTCTCATCTGTTCTTAAATGGGAGCTAAGCAATGTGTACAAATGTGGTACCTGTCACAATCAGATTATACCTAGAAACCAGCCAATGTCTGATGCATTCCACTTCTATGTAAACTTCTACTGAATGCCCACAGCCTTTATTGTCAGCTTTAAAGTCACACCCTGTTTTGGACTCTTTGCGATGGTAAAGAATGGAACTTGTGTGTACTCCATAAACTGACTGTGTAGTGCAAAGGCTTTAATAAAATGACAGGATTACTTCATTAATGAGTGGGCCCGTTTTAGTTGGGTTTTTTTCTACTTCACTAAGATGTGTGCAAATTAGGACTACCACAGTGCAGGTGAGGAATTCTAGTAGCTTGTCACTTGCAGGAACATGAGTAATGCAGAAACAAATAGGTGCAGTAATCCCTTAAATCACTCTCACAGGTGAGACTTTTACTTTTATGCTACAATCCTGTCAGGGACTAATATTTTTCTCTGGTTAAAGTGCACAAAGGGAAATCAAAGGCACTTAGAGAATGAAAATATGAGATTTCACAGTTTTGAACAAACCAAACTTTACTACACAATGTTAGAAAAGTAAGATTATTTACTATGTCTGTATGTGGATGTATATAAATCTCAGACTAAACAATTGGGATTAACAGGAGGCAATTATTGAATGGCAGACATATTGTGGTCTAACACCCCACAGATTGGAGTTTAAATGGTTGATACAGCCAAAGCTGAATCTACCTGAACATTACTGGTAACGAGTCACCAAATCTCATTACAACTTTGTCTCCTATGTAGGCATTTCCAATTCTCATTTTCGAAGAGTTAGCCCTGGAACATGTGATTTTTTTTTTGGTTTGATTTCTTCCAATGAGAATGCATTCCATTGAATTTCCAAGACTGCATTCTGGGACCCATCAGCAAAACATTTTTGAAAACGTTGAAATTCTTCATGGCAATACCTCTATCAATCAGAGTCCACTTGCCGACCAATCAGCACTCTCCTCTCTTGCGCTACCAATGTTGGTTTGCCTATGAATTTGTATTCTTGTGAAATGTCCTGTTAAAAAGTTAAAAGTTAAAAAGCTTTAACAATATGTGTTTTTCAGTAGCCCTCAAGTTCTGTGCAATCAAACTACTTGTAAATATTTAATTGTTTTCCAAGTTTTTTTAGCTGTATTATTTATTTGTAATTCTTAAACAAACTGCAATGAATAATCAAGGTGAACAGTCAAAACCTCTAGCATAGGAGAACAGCAAAGCTAAAAAGATGAGGAGGAATAAAGTAGCAAATTGAGAAATAGGGATGTTAAAATTTGAATGTCTGTAACTTGTTAAAAAAAAAGGGAGGCTGAAAAATGGAAGTTGAATCATTCTGAAACCCTTAGAAAGACTTAAACCAAAGTCTTCAATGGCAGTAAGAGAAGGAGGAAGAGTTCTTGGAGTGACACATTTGAAATTTAGGTGCAACATGAAAGGAAAGCGCAGATGAGCAATAACCATAGTAAAATAAATGAATTTAAGATAGAAGCACGAGAGAGAGAGAGAGAGGCGAAAGAGCAATTAATTGTCAACTTGCAATTCTTGCATCTTATCAAAGAGAACTGTATTAAAATGACCATAGATACAAAATGAGTATTCAACTTGGGACAAATTTTGGCTTCATTTCTTCTTCATGCATGGCACATGCACAAAATACAAATTCTGAAGATGATGATAATATGTTATGTACTTTTATCACATGAATATCTTCAGTCTGGATGGCTGGATTCTTATTTATTCAAAGGAGGGAACCATTAAGATGGATATGAAGAGTTCATACCACTGAAAGCATAGTTCCCTTTGTCAAAGGCTGTAGAATTAAAGGACACTCTCATTTTAAAAGGAAGTGGATAACCCCCATAAAGGAGTAAAAGGGCTATTAGGTAGTCAATCAAGATTAACGCACAGGGGTGGCATGGTGGCTCAGTGGTTAGTACTACTGCTTCACAGCACCAGGGACCTGGGTTCAATTCCAGCCTTGGGTGACTGGAAGTGTGGAGTTTGCACAATCTCCCCATATCTGTATGGCTTTCCTTCGGGTGCTCCGGTTTCCTCCCACAATCTAAAGATGTGCAGGTTAGGTGGATTGGCTATGCTAAATTGTCTGTAATGTCCAGGGATCTGTAGGTTGGGTGAATTCACCATGGTAGGTGTGGAATTACAGGGATAGCATAGTGGTCTGGGTCAGGGTGGGATGCTCTTCAGAGGGTTGGCATGGACTCGATGGGCTGAATGGCCTGCTACTACACTGTAGAGATTCTATCATTCTATGAAATCTGCAAGACTAGAGGCACCGCCAAGGGAAATGAGGTCAGTTCCAAGCACCCTCAGTGAATCTTGCTTTTGGAATTCCTGGTGTTGGCAAAAGCAATTGCCTCAAGGCAGCTGAGGACCACGGTTCACACCATGTGAAAGGAAACAATATTAACAAGTGCTTCTGCTTCTGATTGCCAACCAGTGACATCAGCTGGAAAATAGACAATAGAATTGGACATTCCCACAAAGAATAGAAGACCAACATGTTCTGCCTCAGGTAGCAGAGGGCTAATGACGCTACAAAATTGTGTTTCAAGAAGAGTCAGCATAACAGGAGAAGAGGGAAGAAAATCTAAGGTAGAAGAAATGAAAAAAAAAAGACTTGGGACCTTATTTTGTCAAACATTCTGCAAAGTTAACTCCAATCTCATCTTGCCTTGACTAACAAGGGAGTCAATAGTTGGCAGCACGGTGGCTCAGTGGTTAGCACTGCTGCTTCAGGGACCTGGGTTCGATTCCACCCTCAGGTGACTGTCTGTGTGGAGTTTGCACATTCTCCCCGTGTCTGCGTGGGTTTCCTCCAAATGCTCCGGTTTCCGCCCACAGTTCAAAAATGTGCAGACTAGGTGTATTGGCCATGCTAAATTGCCCGTAGTGTTCAGGGATGTGTAGATTAGGTGGGTTTATAGGGGGATGGATCTGGGTGGGATGCTCTGAGGGTTGGTGTGGACTTGTCAGTCTGAAGGACCTGTTTCCACACTGTAGGGTTCTATGATTGATTGATTGAGTAGCCGAGGTAGGTGGGAAGTGGAATTGAGGCCATAATCAGATCAGGCATGATATTATTGAATAGCAAAGTCAGTTTGAGGAGCCAAATGACCTATTCTTGCTCCGACTTCATATGGTTCTTATTTATCTTCAATCATTCAGAATACCTTCAAGCTGGGAAGGGTTTGGTTAACTCAGTTGGCTGGACAGCTGGCTTGCAATGCAGAGTGATGTCAACAGCGTGGGTACAATTCCTGCAACCCAGCTAAGGTCACCCAGAAGGACTCTCCTGCTCAACCTTGCCCCTCGTCTGAGGTGTGATGACCCTCAGGTTAAACCACCACCAGTTGTTTATCTCTAATGAGAGCAGGTCTCTAGTCCTCTGCAAGTGACAACTTTAATTCAATTTGGAAATAAATTACATTGTTCAATAAGGGATGAAAATCAGTGTGTGTAATTGGTAGTCTACAATTCATTGAAACCCTGGGCTAAATTCTATACAACGTTCTAATTGAAATTTTTATTAATTTTCCCCTTAGGTTTTATTCAAAGTTTGCTATCCAGCAAGTTATGGATCCCACTAGCCAATCTCAGTTATGCCTGTTTTCTAATACATCCTGCTGTCATAGAATTGTATAATGGGCTGCAGGAGACGCTCCTTCATTACACAGACATCAACATGGTGAGTAATCCCAGAATTTCCCTTCATTTAATTCTAGGAATATCCAAGCATAGTCATTGTGAGCCTGCAGCAGAACAAGACAAAGGCTGGGTGAGTATAATGCATGTATTGTTGGAAATTTGGTTCAAAGTGGAAATATAGTGCAAAGGGAGATAAAGATACTTTAACAAGGGTTTTCTGGAAGAAGTAAACTCTTCAGAGTGAAGGGTGAATGGGAGATTTGAAAAGGTGTGGATTGAGATGCCGATGTGTAATGAGACTAGTAATGGAATGAGGTCACAAACCACAGCATGAACCATGTGCAGGGAAAGAAGCTGATAGCTGAATAGGACTGGTGAACATTTCTAACCTTTAAAGTAAACGTAAGGTCTTCAGTTTCTGTTTAGGTCTCCAATGTCTTTCTTTTCTTTTTCTTAAAAATAACTGCCTCCGATGTGCTGGACACCTTGATGCCATCCGAACTTGCCACAAAAGGTAAGTAAGGTTAATGTTAAAAATAAGCAGATAAAAAGGCAAAGATAAAAGCTGGTAGAGTAGATGATCTTTGGGCTCCTGGGCTCAAGAGGCCACATACTTTGCTGATACTCCGCAACAATCTTGAAATCTAGTAATGTTCGAGATGCTCTTACTGAAAGTTTGCAGCTGACACATGTGTTTTTGAAGCCAGATGTATTTGGTCTGGATCACATTGGTGTCCAGCAGTTTCCACATACTGCAGTAGCAGCACATCATCCATCCTACCATCACATCTTTTTGAAGCCACTCTGCCTACCCAAACAGACCATTGCACCCAATAAAGAGAAGGAGCAGTGCCAGCAGCTTGTTTCTGGGTTTGGGTCTGAGCCCTTTCCCTCGCTGCACTATAAGTTAACTCAAATCCTATAGTGATGGTAGGATGGATGATGTGTTGCTATTGCAGTATGTGGAAGCTGCTGGACACCAATGTGATCCAGAGTGAATACATCTGTAAGTGTTTTGAGCTTGAGGAACTTTGGATCTGATTTGAGCTGGAGTCTGAGCTGCAATCATGGTGCTGCATCAGAGAAGGGAAAAGTGACCTGGACACTTCTCTCCAGAGGGCAATCCTACCCCTCAGACTGGGTAATTCAAAATTGGTCTGTGATCAGGGACAGGAAAGTGTGACTGCAAGTGAGGCAGATATAAGGGTTAGTATTGAGGAGACTTGAACTCTGCAACTGTCAAACTGTTAAACAACAACAGGAAGATACAGCACGCCTCAACACACTTGTCACATTACCATACATCAAGAACATATCTGAACTGACCACAAGACTCCTAGGCCACTGGGCATCAGAGTGGCACACAAACCTATATCAACCTATGCCACCTGCTAACAAGAACCAAAGACCCTTTACCCACTATGGACAGAACCAACGTAATGTACAAGATTTCATGCAAGGACTGCGACAAATGTTACCTTGGACAGACAGGAAGGAAACTGGCTACGTAAATACGTGAATACCAGCTAGCAACCAAAAGACAAGACCAATAGTCACTCATCTCCATACATACAGGCAAGAAGGACCACCAGTTCAATTGGGACTTCAGGATCCGAGGACAAGCCAAACAGAGACAAGCATGGGAATTCCTAGAGGCCTGGTTCTCCACCAAGAAGGCTATCAATAAACACATAGAATTAGACCCTATACACACAACACTGCAAAGAAAAACCAGAAATGAGGTAATCAACTGCAACAGACCCCGGAATTTAAATTGGAAGTGGGAAAATACAACAACGCTTTATCGGAGGCTGCACTGATAATGTTACCCAGCAGGGTAGTGAAATGTCTGCAAGCTAATGAACCAGCTCAGCAAGTGAACCAACCACGACATCCACAACCCGAGCTACAAATCTACTCAAGAATATTAGTTAAATGATTCTTGTAAGCTGTATGGATGAGAGGGGGAACTGCAGTGAGGTTAAGCTTGCTGATCATGGCATCTTGACAGAGGGAACCATTTAAGTAGAGGGAATGAAATAGGAATATCATTGTGGTAGGAGACAGTATAAACATGGCAAATATAATTAGGGGATAATTATTGTTTCCACCTGTCTTGAGAGGGAGTCATGAAGGCTGCGTTGCTTAGTCAGTGCCAGAGTTAAGGATACCTATTTCTTTGGGGCTGGAGAAGAATTTGAAGAGAGGAAGGGAAGGACCCAATAGTTATTGTCCATGTTGGTACCAATGACATTAATAGAAGTAGGAAGGAGGTTTTGGTGAAGTGAACAATTAGGAGCTAAATTAGAAAGGGCAGCATGGTGGCTCAGTGGTTAGCACTGCTGTCTCTCAAGCACCATGGACCTGGGTTAGATTCCACCCTTGAGTGACTGTCTGTGTGGAGTTTGCACATTCTTCCCGTGTCTGTGTTGGTTCCAGTTGGGTGCCCTAGTTTCCTCCCACAGTCCAAAGGTGCGCAGGTTAGGTAGATTGGTCATGCTAAATTGCCCATAGTGTTCAGAGATGTGCAGGCTAGGTGTGTTAGCCAAAGGAAATGCACGGATAGGGTAGGGGGATGGGGATGGGTCTGGGTGGGCTGCTGTTCGGAGGCTTGGTTGGTGTGGACCCTTTGGGCCGAATGGCCTGTTTCTACACTGCAGGTGTTCTATGGAGAACCTCCAAGGCAATAAACTCTGGATTACAACCTGAGCCACAGACAAAATGGGATACAGCAGACAAAGTCAAGGAATTAACTATGTGCCTCAATGATTGGTATGAGTGGGTGGGTTTTCATTCACGGAGTCCTGGCACCTGTACTGGGCTGAGAGTGAGCTGCCCTTGTAAGATAGGATTCATTGAACCAAAAAGGAAAATTTAGGGAACAAGAGAAAAAAATTCATGTCCTCGAACCCACAACTAATGTTTCAGCCTGACATTGTGTCAGTAATTTTGCCACAGAATCAGAAAGTTTTGGCTTCAAGCTCCATTCCAGAGACTTGAGCACAAGATCTAGACTGGTACTTGTATAGTACTGAGGGAGTGCCGCACTGTCAGAGGGTCAGTGCTGAGGGAGTGCCGCACTGTTGGAGGGTCAGTGCTGAGGGAGTGCCGCACTGTCAGAGGGTCAGTGCTGAGGGAGTGCCGCACTGTCAGAGGGTCAGTGCTGAGGGAGTGCCGCACTGTCGGAGGGTCAGTGCTGAGGGAGCGCCGCACTGTCAGTGGGTCAGTGCTGAGGGAGTGCCGCACTGTCAGAGGGCCAGTGCTGAGGGAGTGCCGCACTGTTGGAGGGTCAGTACTGAGGGAGTGCTTCACAGTCAGAGGGCAGTATTGAGGGAGTGCCGCACTGTATGAGGGTCAGTGCTAAGGGAATGCCACATTTCAGAGGATCAGTACTGAAGGAACACTGCACTGCCGGAAGGTCAGTGCTGAGGGAGTGCCGCACTGTCAGAGGGTCAGAATGGAGGTAGTGCCGCACTGTTGGAGGATCAGTACCGAGGGAGTGCTGCACTATAAGAGAGTCAGTAATGAGGAAATGCTGCACCATCAGAGGGTCAGTACTGAGGGAGTGCTGCACTGCAAGAAGGTAATTACTGAGGGGGTGTTGCAATGCTCGAGGTGCTTTCTTCATCGTGCAGAGGCCCCAGTTGATGTAAAAGATCTCACAAATTTATTTGACAACAAATTGGCAGTTTTCCTGATGCCCGGGCCAGCAATTATTCATCAATCACTGCAACTAAAAACAGGTTGAGCTGATTGGTGATTGGTGCCCTTGCTGGGCATAAATTACAGCAACAACTGCATTTCAAAAGTAGTTTGTTGACTGCAAAACACCTTGAGATGTCCTGAGGTTGTGAGAGATGGTATTTAATTACAACTTGTTTATTTGTTTCCAATAATTTTGTTTATAACGTGCGTGGACATTGAGTGAGAGCAATATTCTGTTTACCTGCACCCCTCCCAATGTAAATGAGCATAAAATGAAGACCGTATAATAATAATATTAATTTAAACAATGACCATTCTTTTGATTTTTAAAACATGTTAATTTCTAAGCAATTAAAGAAAAATTTATCAGGATATATGATAAATTCCTGATAAATTTGGATCTGGATTGTTGATTTGATTCGCACAACTCCCCCTGATATCGGTATCAATGGTAAAAGGGATTATGGAAGTTTTCAACTCAAATGGCTTTCAGTGCAACTTGCCTTTTCACAGTCTTTTGCACTAGCTGTAAAGTCATTGTACTACCCATTAAACTGGTTACACCCCTGAGGTAAAGAAATCACCGCTGGCAATTTCCCTAATTACTGCAACTTCATCTTCTGCAACTCTTCAAAAGTCCCCAGACTTAAAGTTGGAACTTTCAGCGGAAAGACCATACTGGGTATGTTATAAATTTTTTTTAAAAAATGAATAACCTATAATGCCCCAAAATAAATAGAATATTATTTTATACATTTTTGAAAATAATTTTCAGTAATTTAAAAACAGGTTACTCACAGCAGGTGTTTTGACATTGTGATTTACAATGTTTATTATGAACCCATTTGCAGTTATAATCAAAATGTCTCAATGTTACCACTCATATATATGAAGAGATACTATTTAAAGACAATGCTGACTTAAATTATGTTTTAAAATGCTGCCATATTGTGCTGGTTGACAGTTGGTTTGTTTACTGTGATATTTAAGTAAATTTGAGTTGACATAAACATTTTGTGGGGTGGTAGAGACATGAAATTGTTTCTAAAACAGGTACAATTTTGAATGAGGAACTTACTCCAGGGTTACAGGTTTATAGAAACTTGAAGTTTTGAAAAAAAAACATCATCCTAGACCTACGACCCTCGGTGTTATGTAATGCCTGGATAAAAGCTATTCCTTTCAGTAGTTTTTTTCTAATATTTTGTATCATGAATATCCTCAGAGCTGCATTTTCATCATTGTTGGATTTACAATCAGGATTTTCACTACTCTTCCAGTAAAATTACAATGACAGAGTTGGCACAGTACTGAATGAATTCCCAACTTAATAAT